TATACCTTTACCTTGCGCATTTCATTCCATATGATCCACTCCATATCATCACGTGACCATATTGGTTCATCAATCTTGACTTCACTTGCTCTTCATCGTTGCTTCGGTCCATCGGCGCCAAGTCATCACTCAACATGCCCTTCACACTTACAACTGGTTCGTCAAGCCAAGTCATGTCTTGATCTTCTCTTCCTTGATAACATGACTCAATGTCATGTCTCATCTGCAATGAGCTCCTTCATCATCACATGTGTAAGGCTTGTAGCAACTCCGAGTCATCTTCATCATCATGGCATATGTAGCTCACACACATGTACTTGTGTACTAATCACCTGTGTATCACTCAAACACATTAGTCCACCTAAGGTTCTCACTCAATTACCAAAACCAAACAAGGACCTTTTACGCGCCCTCGCCCCCACCCACTGCACCGTGCCCATCACGCCGTGGCCACGGCCGCCCATGCCGCCGCGACCGCCGAGCCACACCCGGCCGTCCGCGCCACGCTGTGCCCACCCATTCGCCGATGCCGTTCGCCCGTCGACCCGTCCTCCTGCTCTCGGCGCACCGCGACCTCATTGTCACTCCTGTTGTCCATGTGGTAGGTCTGCTCCTCCCGGGCGTGACCTCGACCCCTGCTCCGGCGTCCACGAGCCGACCCCTCCCCGTCGGTCGCCCGATCCCTGCCGCCGGCCGTTCCATTGTTGCCGCTGGGCCTCGAAGTGCCGAGGGCAGTGGCCCTTGGAAAGGGATGAGGGGAGGGGCTGGTGTCCGGCTGCAAGGCCGCAGCACCCGCCATGGCCGGCAAGTTCGGCTAGTGCTTTTTGCCTCCAACGTCGCCTGCTCTGTTTGTTGCATTCGTCGGATATGTTAAATTTGTGAATATGCAATGTGATGACATAGGTAGTTGATTTACTTAGTGAGATAGGTATATAGATAGATACATACATAGATACATAGGTACATAGATATAGTTAGATAGCTAGTTGTATATTTAGTTATTTAGGTAGGATTTAGCTATTTAGTTACTAGATTATATCTATATACTTAGTTATTAACCTATTTACTTAGGTTATAGTTAGTTAGTATGTATTAGATAGGTACTATATGAAACTACTTTGGACTAAATAACCTGTGTTTGAATTTGTGTATGAACTAATAGATAGACAACATAGTGAGCATATATCATGGAGGCACCATGGAAAGAGATCGCTATGGATATGTTAAGTTTGTTGATATGAAAAGCGTGCCTATATTATTCAATAAGAAGTCTTCATTTAGTGAGTTGGTTGCAAGGGCTCAGGAGGAGCTATATTGACATGGAGATGATGGCATCATAGTTAAGGGTGTACTTCACCTAGGTTCCCCTCCCAACATCCTAAGGAAGATGATCCCAATTGGGTGTGCGGATTAGTGGGAGAACTATGTGAGATCGGCTATAAAGAGTCAGTTCAAAGTTTGGATGTGGTTGTGCGTTGGGTGGTACTTGATCACATTCCTCATGGGGTTTTCCCATAAATGGATCAGCAGGCACACTTTGAGCCTCCCGTCCCAGAACCTGATATGGATGTGGAGGTTGCACATACGGTTCCCGATGCTCAATCTACCTCTAATGAGGTTGTTGGAGATGCTTGTCGGACTCATGATGTTGTGGCAGATCCTCCTCATGAGGTCCCTTTAACACAGAATCATCCGAGTAAGTGTCTTATCTGTATCGTTATTGGGAGCTTATCTCCTTTCTTACATCCATTTTTCTTATTCTTTCCTCATATTTCCTCGTTATTGGGAGCTCACCCCCGCCATGTCGAAGACATTGAGTGCTTTTGTTCGAGAGTCAGGGACGACGACACGCGTAGCTTCCTAAACGTAAGATTCTAAAAATTCTTTCAAGTATAATATTAATACGTTAAATTTTTTTAGTTAACATGATTTTGTACAACAGAGACTGTCACTTTGGCTACGCCGTGCGGCTGCTCGTTGTGGTTGCAGGAGGACAACCACGACGCAAGACGTGCATGTTCCTTCCGCAGGCAGAGGAGGCTTAGGTTCGTTTAGCCAAGCACCTACAGGGTCCATAGACATTGCGTATGAGGACGAGGACGAGGACGATGAGGAGGTGGACTAAAGGCACGAGGAGCTTGGACCGTCTCAGCTATAGGATGCTCCCTCGACTCAGCCTACACAGCCTGCAGGCACTAGGCGACGTTGTCCACCTAATCCTTTCACTCTAGGCACCGACGCTCTTGGTAAGGGTAAGACTAGGAGACAATAAGGGTTTATTGTAGATTTTGTGGTAGATGTTATTATGTAGTATTATGGACTTTGTGGACTTTCATTATCAACTATTGTGGACTGCATAGACTATTATTGTGGACTATATAGACTATTATTATGGACTGTATGAACTACTATAGACTATAATTATGAACTGTGTGGACTATTAATATGCTCATGTATATGGTTTGAGATGAATATGGCATATATTTATATGTTTGAACATGTTGTATTGAGGTTAAGTATTCATGTCCATATTTGTGTATGAATTGCATCAAAAAATAGGAGAAATTGTGCCAAAATTTTCTGCCTAAAGTACATTAAACTGAATATTATGACCACAGATAATGAAAACAACAATGAAAAGTCAAATACCATGACACATTAAATAACACAATAATACTAGAAGTACATGCCGACAAACTAAATAACGCAGTACATGACCTAAGTACGTCCATACTTAAAGTGCATTACATGACAACACAATAAAAAGTCTAAGGGTAGACAGCATTGTTCATGAATAAACCATACAACTAACAAGTCATGAAGACTACTGAGTGTAACGAGATCACTTTCCCTTACTTAGGGCATCGGGATTCTACTCCATCGCTGCTTTCCCTTGGCGCGCACGCTTAAGCTTCTTCTCCCTCCTCTTCTTGTACGCAGCAACACGCCACCTTTCCTCCTCTTCCTTAAGCTCCTTTTCTGCAGCCTCCTCTCTGCGTCTCTTCTCCATCATCTCCTTGTCCTATGTTTCCCATCGCAACAGTTTATCTTCAGGCTTGATCTCAGTGTCGATCCACTGCTCAAAATCACAGAGCGGTGGAGGGGTCTGCAACAAATACAATTGTTACGAAATAAAAAAATCATGCAAGATTTCATATGACACAAAATAATTATTACACAACATCAATTTCTCACCATTTTGTTAATGCGGTGCTGACGAAATGTAGGCTCAAATGCAAAATTAGAACACATCCAATACATCTGCCTATACGTGTCATATTCATCGGACTTGGCTACCTTGCAAGGATCGCCGCAAAAGTACATGGACACTAAAATACCACTAGGCAGAGGCATAGGTCGAAGGCATTTTCGATCATCCGGCCATAACTATAATTTAACCAATTTGGTTCTAAGAACCGAAAGCAATTAACATTAAACCCTAAACCTAGGGTTTCTCATTTGATGCACAACAATGAACCCATAATATAACAACATGCGCTGAGGTTACCTTGGTTTGCTAGCTTTTTCACGCCTTGGCATCATACGGTTGTATAATACAAATATTAAAAATTGCATAAAACCCTAAGTAATGACGATTCTTAGGTTGAAAAATCCGACTAATATATAATGAATCGGTGCGAAAAAAAACTAGAAGGGAAGCGAGGATACCTTGCTCTCAAAGATTTACGGATCAAATCAAAGTTTATAAGGTCCAATATGCCGATTCATGAGGTAGGACGAAGTGGGGAGAGCAAAAACCCGAGAGAGAGGAGAAAGAAAATAAAGAAGCCTTGGCCAAGCTTGACGCCAATGACCCCGGTGCCGAGGTGGCTGCTATGTTACCGCCACATCTGCGTCGACGCCTACGTCGATCCAAGACCTTGGTGCCAAATGCTCTGGCGTCGAGATGTGTAAGCTCAGCGTCAATAACATCGGCGCCGAGATGTAGATTTTGAAAGTATACCCTTCAAGGACAAATTTGTGAAAAACTTAAAAAAAAAGAAAAAAAAAAAAAAAAATCGGGTCTCCGATCGGGTGGGACAGCGAGTCGGTGACCTCGTCTGCCGTCTTGTCGCGGACCGCGGCGGCGCGTCCGAGCACAACTCGCACACGGTGCAAAGTACGGTTTGTGCAAGTTATAAAACGGAAAATACCGAAAGTTCATTGGCTTTGCCGTAAATTTATGGGGGAAACATCTACCGAACTTTTCCAATTGCTCGCCTGGCCCTTTTTTCTTTTGGTGTGTGTGCTCATCTGGTCCCATCCTCTGATTCTTTCTAATGCATCTCAGGCTCTCAGCTTCTGATTCATGTGCCACTGTCTTGCTCCCTCTCCCACGTGTGCTTTTATGCCTCCATGTGTAGGTTCTCCACTGTGCGTCAGTGCATGTGTATTTGAGCTTTGGCGTGGCTACTTGGAGCTAGAGCTGTTCACTGAAAACGTCTCCTCCTTAAATTTGCGCCTCCTCCTTAAATTTGGCGAGCCTCCTCTGGAGGAGCCGGAGTCGAATAGAAGCCCTGCCAAATAGAGCCTTAATACCCAGACTGCTTTTGGCTAGCTTAAACACCTGTTTTTTTTAACAAAAAAAATGCTAACCTAAGCAACGCCATGATCTCTTGATTTGTGCAAGAAAAAAAAAGTAGTGATGACTTCAACACAACGCCGTTCCGCTTTTCAACCACTGTCTAGGTTTAAACGTTGGAGGTCGAAAACTAGACTTTATTACCTTAAAAAAAACCTGCACGCACCAACGTAGAATTTCACGTTGCAAGATCTCAATTAACCCCTGTACAATTGTACAAAATTTATTCCATTATTTGCTATAATTTATCACCTATATCATATGATATGGCTACATCGTTCTGTACATGAAGAATGCAGGGTACTGACTTTAACTTAACTGGTGACTCGACAAAAGTTATCCAGATTCTGTTAAGCCGCTGTAAGTAAACTATGCTCTGTCTTCCAGGCAGCGTGCGCGACCCGTATCCATCATCTTGTTAAACCTTCAGCCATCCCCCGGGGTACACATCAGGGACATTTTCTTTGTCCATGTTCTTGGCCCTTGAGTTGCTCCGAACTGATTTTTCTGAAAGAGATGGTATAACTGTCGCAAAGCTTCTCTCCTTGCTTCTTCTGCAGCAGTGTGGCACTGATGGATTATCTTAGAAGATATATTAGTGTTACTTTGCAGCGTATTTGGTAAAAGTAGTGCTAACATGATGGCGCACCTGAGATGGATCATGAAGAACACTGCGCCAACAAGGGTAATTCCTCCAACAACTGACTTCAGAACCCCTTTCCCTGATTTTGGGACATCATCTTCAGGCCTTCGAGTGATGCTATCCTGAGCTATATCTTCTGATTCCACTGGTTTATCAGTGGATTCGGAACCGTCCTGCATGACAGAGGAGTGTTAGGAGCACTTCTGTGTGCAGGAAGCATAATTACAAGAATGACAAGCTGGACTTGAGCATTTCAGGAGTCACCATTTCATTCCTAGTGCTGACTTCAGGATTCAGCTCCCGGTACGTGCTATCACTTGTCACCCTAGTCATATTTGGCTCTATATTATTCACTGGATGTTCGGAAACCATCGGCAATTTGCCGCCTGTATTATGTGTTGGGGTCAGTCCTGAGTATGATTCTGAGCTCAAGTCTGATGGCTCTCCATTTAATCCATATCTCGGTTCTTCACAACTTGAACACACAGACTCCCTATCACAAGCAAGGGCATCACAATGTTGAACTATGGTGCCAGTCTCCTTTTGGAGGTCAGCTTCCTCTTTTTTTGGATGATCAGCTAATGTATCCCCATTTCCCTGAATATAATGATCTAGAGACTTGGCATGTCCATCGTAAATCCTTTCCGAATCTGTGTCAGAATGATTGTTCAACTCCAAATAATTATTGCCACTGTCAAACGCCAAATGACTGCTTGTGGAATCTGACTCTTCTGAACTTAATGAACATTTAGCCATTCTAGTCCTTGAACATTGATCAGTTGCAGAATGAGTAGAACATGATTCTTTATTATGAATTAGAGGACTTGAATCCATGAACTCAGAATCAATAATGCCAATGTTAAGTGATCCCACTGATTCAGCTAGAGATTTTTCTTCATGCTTGTCATGTCCACTTTGTCCATAGCCTTCACTTTCTTCGTTGGGGGCATCTCTAAATTGTGAAAGCACGGCTGCAAAATTATCTTCATCAACTGAGTCCTCAGGTTCTAGAAGAGAGAGTTTGCTTTCTGCTTCATCAGAGTCATAATGTGTGTCCTCGTGCTGGTCGTTCTGCCCTCCAAATATTATCTGAGAAAAATATATATATTAAGTGAATAACATTAAGCACAAGTGTGGAAATACAATTAACCCTTTCCAAGACCCTGCCTGCTGCTGTAGTGCTTTAGAACCGGCACGTGGACTGTATCCACTTGAACTGGATGAGCTGTATTGTGGCTGCTCCAGACTTCTACAAATACCTCCAACAACATAGTTTGGCATGGATATTGTGTAGGTGACTATATCAAAATCAGGCACCTACGATCACAGAGAAGAAACACATAAATTAAAGTTATTACAGTAGGTAAGTCACTGGAAAATGCATTTCTTAGAAATGCTTAGGAAGAACCTAGGACTTACATTTAGGTGCATGATGTGAGACTTTTTAGACACCGATCGTATGCACATACAGACTTTCCGAACATTTCTTTTTTCGACCACATCAGAAGGGGTAAACAGATCAATTCCAGCTAGCCCAAGGATTTGACATATCTGAAAAGAACAGAGATTACTAATTATCAAGCAACCATTTCAGAAGAAATGTAAACTAAGCCAGTAAAGTATATATGTGACTGCATCATGCTTGAAGCCTTTTAGTATCAACCAAAGCTGTCGATGTAGCGTAGGAAGAAAACACAAATGCACCCACACATCTATGCCTGCCATGCTTCTAAGTCTAGGTCGTGGGTAGAAGAGGGGCCATTATCTTGCTGTAATTAAAATTCCACCAGGTCCAAACTTAGCACCATTGGAATTTTTTGTTGGGTGTTTTCTTCACCTAAAAGTTGGCCCTATGCAGGATTAGGACACTAAGCAGATCCAGCAGACCAGCACCTATTCTTATCACAGAAACAATTTAATCCGATTTACATAAGTTACCACCTTCCGGTCATAAAAGCGTGTCATTTAGGACAATATTTAGTCAAAGCTTAAAAACCGCATTTATTTTGAAAACCTGTAGATTATATGTGTAAAAACTGTATTGAAGAATACTTACAAAATCTCACAAATTTGAGAGACTTTAAGAATATATTTTAGAAGGAATTAGTGGCCAAAGATATGCATCAAAGATCGTGCAAAGTCAAATGAGACAAGTGTTTTACCAGAGGGAGTACAACTTTTTACTGGGAATTTGTACAAATTACAGCTGATCTAAAATAGGCAGACAGCCTTGGAAACAAATAAAATGATTGAAGTTCACAGCAAAAAAGCAAAGATACACAAATTTGTTTCATTTCTTTGAGCGAAATGTACAGCAGGGTAGACCCCCACTGATAGACAGATTTGTAGCTATACCTAATGCTTATTCAATTCCATTGCAGCAATGTTAGTCAGTAGAGCGTACATAACTCACAAGGAAGTAGCACAAAACACCATCTATAGACTATAGCAGATTCAATACTGGTTTTCAGAACTCTTCATGCACAAATATTGGCAGAACATTTCATGCGTCACAGACAATTTACACTGATCAAACTCATCAGACTGACTACTTAAAATGGAACCCATGCTAGAAAAATGCTTCACATGTGTTCGAGAGAAAAAAAAGCTTCATTCAAGCTCCTCTGATGGAAAAAAAAAATGTTTTGAAGGATTTATATACAGTTCACTTTTACCAAATTAATGCACTTCAAGTTAACAAAAATCTTGAACACATTAAGTTAACTTTCGCTCAAAAAGATATTAATAGAACTAAAGTGTTGAGGGAAAATGTGCAATGATCCATACCTTTAGAAAGGAGTCAACTTTTGAATAGGGCATGTATTTTCCACTGCTCCTACTGAAGGATAGTCTCTCAAAAATATAAACTTTTGATTGTTTCAATTGTTCTCTGTTCTTTTTCAGTAACCTTTTCCATATTATCTTGGAAACTTGAAACCTAACAGCACAAATATAACAGGTGAGAAGAACATAATAAATATCAGAGAGAGAAGTACACAATTAATCATAAAACAGTTCAATTCTTTCAGAAACCATTTATCCTAGGCAAGTAGACACTTGCAAAGAGACAAAACTATCTGAGCAAAAATATACGGATCAGTGGGATCCTAGATTTCTGTAGCTACACAATATCCATATGCATGGCACACACGTGCTAATTACTTTTGTTCATGCAGGGAGACCTCATGAAGAAACTGATCTTACAGTAATTCTCCGTCAGCAAGAAGATCAGCAACTAAAGTGTCTTCATCAAACCTAACATGAAGAACTTCTCCAAGCCAGATTTTTGTTTGTGTCTGAAACAAAAGTGAAAATAAATAGAGATGTCAAAGTAAGTAAATGATTAAATAAACTAAGATAGCATGTGTAATCTCTGCTTTACAGAAGCAGGATAACTAACAAGTTTTCTTTTGAAACAATAACTAACAAAATGTTTGTTTTGCATGAGGACAGTGCCAACAAAAAGGAGAAAGCAAACACTAAGAATAGTTGTATATCCAGTGCATTTTATTTATAAACCGTAGCAATTGAATTGGCTATACCTCACTAGATTGTATTGTGTTTTTAACAAAACTTCAGAGATTTAATGGAATGTATGTAGCTTTATATATATCATCTTTACTCATATGATTTTGCACGAATGCAAATACAATTTTTGAGAAACTAAGACATGTTGGAGAATGAAATTACACTGCACAATGTCTCCTGTAGTATTGAATTAGCTTTACATGGCGAGGACCATTTGTCATGCCCTTAACTTTGTCAGGAAGAGATTGGATCAAAACGATGTGATATTTTACTAACTCTGTTGACATAGAGAAATGGTCCGGCAAGCATTGGCCATTTTGACATTAGCCACGACTAAACATGGCCCAAAAAAAAAGCCTATGAAAGAAATTCTACTGCCCACTGATTGATCTGAAAAGCATCTGTTTTAACAGCATCATATATTCATATATCTAAGATACATGGTCCCAAACTCCCCTGCACGTCTAATTTTGCCACAATTTCAACGTCGGGAGACATGCAACTGCAAGTGCAAAGTAGTATTCTACTCAAGTCTCAACATTCTAACGAAGTCCAAGTGCCAGAAACCAGCCAAAAAGAACCTCATATGCAACCGCAGCGACAAAGAATTCAATCGGCAACCATTTAGTCCATGTTGCCCTCTTAACTACTAGTAATACAAAAAATTCGAATTCATCAACAAGGGATTCTGTATAGTATCTGGCGTGCGAACCCTTTGAATCAAGAGCTAGCGCCGCCACGAACAGAATCACTGGATAATCTGGCACCAATACAGGAGGCGTCCGTCAGCAAGCACGGCGGAAGGCACTCCACTAAACCGCGGTGGCCCGGAGGTCCAAGCAAGCACACTCACTGTTCCATTAGCTCCCTGTTCCCCCAAGAACCCCAACCAACCAAACAGAAAAGCTTCGGGACCTCACCTGCAGGAAGGCCTCGTCGAGCTCACGGAAGGTGGACGCGGACGACGCCTCATCCACCCGCACCGCCCCCTGCTGCCCCTGCTGCGCCCTCCTCATCCTGCCTCCTCCTTCTCGATCACCGAATGTCACGTCACGGGGTGCCCGCCGCCCCATGACGCTCCAGCTCAGATCCTCGTGCCGCCCGCCGCGGGCGGCGTGCAAGCTCATGGATCCCGAGGTCTCGGTCTGCCTGTTTGCCAAACGCCAGTAGTTGGCTACTACTACACTTCGGCGGAGGGAGGAGGATGCGTGAGCATGCGTTGCGTTTGCGTGCGTGTGCGTCGCGGGGGGTGGACCGATGGAGCCGTGGAGGCGAGGCGGCAGCCGCGTGTCGTGTCCTCCGCCGGAATAAGCGCGGCGCTGCTGCACCTGCGCGCATTTACTCGCGCGTTTTTCTCGCGGCGAATGACGAGGACATGATTGGATTTTTCCCCTGCGGGTGCCGAGACCGAGGCCTCGTTTAGATTGAAAAAATTTCAAACGATGAATAGTAATATTTTCGTCTTATTTGATAAATATTGTTCAATCGTGGACCAGCTAAGCTCAAAAGATTCATCTCGTGATTTCCAACTAAACCGTGCAATTAGTTATTTTTTTACCTATATTTAATGCTCTATACAAATAGCTAAAAATTGATGTGACGAAAGAGAGTGAAAAAACTTAAATTTTGAGGGCAAGGCCCGAGAGGGGCAGTCAGCTGGCGGCACACGAGCGCTCGGGAGTGGGATTCAGGAGCCGAACCGGACAAGGCACAAAGCCGCGAGACGACAGGGACCGGGCACGAGCTGTGGACGTCCGATGCGCCATCTGGTTCGTGTGGTCGGGGAACTGGCGCACGGGATTGCGTTTGACTACTCACAACTCTAACAACAACGCCTTTAAAAAAAAGAAGACGAAAATTTCCTTACAAAGTCCTTGTATCTTAGCGGAGAAAAACAAATGGCCTACATTTGTATCCAAAACCTTTAACAATAGACCACATCAACGAGCGCGTAACTTAGCTGGATTTCTTATGGTAAAACCTCCACACCTAGTTAAGTCTTTGATTAACACGGGTTCACATTTTTCTGAGTTTTTAATATTTAATATCGTTGTTTTTGAATGGTATAATATATGCCCATCGACAGGGAATTGTTTGCGGTGGCTTCATGAATCTCGAAATCTCATGGCTAAGTCTTGGTCTTTTAAAGATCGGCAAGGCTAGCGCTTAGATATCCGGACGCAACTCCCGTTCGACGCACCTAACGCGCCCCGTCCCGTCCCCCACGCGTACGTGATACGAGAGCCCACTGCACCGGCGTCACCATGCCGTGATGGCTCCCGCGCGACGGTGATGGCGTAGGCAAGCATGCCATTGATCAGAAGCGGCGTGATGAGGATCCACTCTAGGGCCGCATACACCAGTGCGGACGCCTGTGCGTCCTCCGGTGGAGCGCTGCCTCCATCTTACAGCTGACGTCGCCATGGCTCCCGCGCTAGCTCTCTCTTCCTCGCACCCTACATCTAAATCTACTTTTACAACGCTCAGATGAAATAATTGCAACATACGACTGAAACAGATAAAACATTTGAAACATACACTTGCAACATAGCCATTGTAACTATGCAACATTCAGATAAAATACCTGCAACATACGTCTGAAATAAATGAAACATTTTGAACAAACAAACTCTTGTAACATACCTCTGAAACACTTGCAACATGTACAACATCCCAATCCGCTTTTGCAACATCCATATGAAACAATTGCAACGTACCTCTCAAACACCTGAAACACTTAAAACATACATTTACAACATAAGAAGGAGAAGGTCGGGGATGGTCGATTCCGGTCGTCGAGGTGGGATCCGGTGGCGCGCGAGCACAACCACCACCAACACCGCCCCCTTGGCTCGACTAGGCAGGCCGTGCGCTATGAGAGGGAGCGGGCGGCTCGCGGCCAGAGCAAGGAGCGAGCTGTAGGTGGGACGCGGAGAATTTTTATTTTTAATCCTTTTTTATTCAATATTTCAATAATAATCACACCTAAATTATTTTTGCGGATCTGACCCTTTTGGTCGCGCCAGTGCCGCCGGCGAGACCAAATAACGTTATCGTGACACATGCATTGGCGCGACAACATCTGCCATGTTAGACGATATTTCCGACGTGGAAAACACTGTCACGCCACTCCCGCTGGCGTGATAGTATTGCTCTGTCGTGCCACCGGGAGTGGCGTGACAAGACTGAACCTTTGAAAAATTATAACTCTTTGATCTGATGTCGGATGAAGATGAAATTTATATGAAAATTGTAGCTCTCGATGATATCTACAACTTTCTTACTTTGAGTTTTTCCATTTGAGAACGTTAAGATGCTCAAAAAAACAATATAAAATTTCAGGAGCATAATAACCGTGTACTAGTGCTCGTCGCATTAGAAAAATAATATCTTTTATGTATGGTGTCAAATGAAAATACTTTTTATATCAAAGTTGTAGCTCTCAATGATATCTACAACTTTATAGTTTTGAGTTTTCACATCTAGAATCGTTAAGATGCTCAAAAAATAATATAAAATTTCAGCAGTATAATAATTGCGTACTAGCGCTTATCACGGTAAAAAATAATATCGTTTTTGTATCGTGTCAAATGAAGGTACTTTTTATATTAAAGTTGGAGCTCTCAATAAGATCTACAACTTTATAGTTTTAAGTTTTTACATCTATGGTTGTTAAGATGCTCAAGAAAATAATATAAAGCTCCAGCAGCATGTTAGTGGTACACCAGGGCTTCTCGCCTAACGAAAAATATATTTTTCTTAAACGGTGTAAATGAAGATACTTTTTATATCAAAGTTGTAGCTTTCGATGAGATCTACAAGTTTTTTGTTTTGAAGTTTTTCATCTGAGATCGTTAAAATACTGAAGAAAATAATACAAAATCTAAGCGGCATATTAATCACCACCAAAGCTTATCTTTTTAGAAAACATCATATCTTTAATATTGAATAAATATACTTTTGAAATGAAAGGTGTAGCCATCCATAAGATCTACATCTTTCATTTAAGAAATATCTTTATGCGACATGAAATCAGAAATATATGATTTTTTTCTAAAGAAGGTAACCTTAATGCCCCTTAATTTTTGTATTGTTTTTTATTTAGCATTCTAACGATCTCAAATGAAGAACTTCAAAACTAAAAATTGTAAATCTTATCTATAGCTACAACTTTGACATAAAAAGTATCTTAATTTGACACCTTCCAAGAAAATATAATTTTCGGAAGGCGACAAGCCATGGTATACGACTAATATGCTGTTGAAACTTTATATTATTTTTTGAGTTACTTAACAACCTCAAATGCAAAAACTCAAAACTATAAAGTTGTATATCTCATTGGGAGCTACAACTTGGATATAAAAAGTATCTTCATTTGACACCATACATAAAAGATATTATTTTGCTAATGCGGCAAGCGCTACTACGCGATTATTATGCTGCTGAAATTTTATATTATATTTTTGAGCATCTTAACATTCTCAAATGAAAAAACTCAAAACTAGAAAGTTATAGATCTCATCGAGCTCTATAATTTTCATATAAAAATTATCTTCATCTAAAGTTGTATTGAAGAGTTATGAATTTTTGAAAGTTGAGTCTTGTCACGCCACTCTCGGTGGCGCGACAAGACAACACTGTCATGCCAACGGGAGTGGCATGACAAGGTTTTCCATGTCAGAAACGACGTCCAACGTGACATATCTTATCGCACCAACGCATGTGGCGCGACAGCGTTATTTGGTCACGCCAGCGGGACTGACGCGACCAAAAGGGTTAGATCTGCAAAAAAAAAAATTAGACGCGGTTATTATTAAAATATTGAATAAAAAGGATTAAAAATATAAAAAATTTCGTGGGACGCGCGACGGTCAGGTGCGAGGAACGAGCGGCGCAGGTGGGGCGCGCGATGGGCGGGATCAAGGAGCGAGCGAGCGAGCAGCACGGGATGAGGCGAGCGGTGGGAGAAAGCAGCGAGCAGGGGCAGAGTCAGGAAGTTGATTTTTTGAATGTTAGGGAGGCCAATAGTGTTGAATTTTCAAAATTTATTTGAATTTTAAAAATTTAGTGAAAAAATCACATTCATAGGGGGTCTGGGCCCCTGCCTGCCCCCCTTGTCTCCGCCCCTAGCAACGAGGCGGACTGAGGCGTGCGGTGTCTAGATGGGACGGACGCCCGTGGCCAAGCATTATCATTTGAAGATATGAATGTACGTGCATATATGAGTATCTCTACAGTGTGTATAGGCCTCTATCGCAAAGCTTTCTTCATCGCTACCATACTCAAATCGCAATAGAGGAGCAGCAGTTACCCTCTAGCCACCCCGATCACCATAGCCAAACACGGCGGTTAGGACCGGCAAGGGGTGGCTTGTGCTTGATTAGGAAGGACTAGAGTTGGCCAAGAGCGACCTACGAACAGAATGAGACGATCATAAGTTTAGGCTGGTTCGTGGTACTATTGGACACATGTTTTCTTAGTACTCCGTAATAAGACCAAAATAAGTTTTTGAAATCTTTTTTTTTCTCTAAAAACATTCTTAGAGATGCATCTCAAGTTATTCCAACCATTTTTCTTCTCTATTTGATTCTCTCTTCATCCACTGGACCATACCAAACTGCCCCCTAGCTCACCACCATTGGGCTTCTTCCCATAGGTGGAGCTAGCTACATGGACATGTGGTCCATGGACCACCCTAAAATTTAGTTCAAGCTTAAATTATAATAGATGAACTCTCAAACATCATGAAAAATTACACATGGACCACTCTATAATTTAATTTTACATCTAAAATGAACCACACTTGCTATAGATCCTAGCTACACCTATGCTTCTTCCTCTTGCTGCCAAACGAGAGCACCAGGACTTCCTCGTCCCATGTCATTTCGCTTCAGTCTATTCTTGCACACACTAGCACTACAACTTGTCCCGTCTCAACGCCTATGGCACACCACTCCCTACCCCCAACTACTCGGTTGTCCGCTCGACACACACAAGCGTGCACAAAATTTGCAATAGCGCACTGCCCTACCACCGATGTTGCAAGTACTCCGCTGTTCTGCGCCACAACGCTCATGCTCGGAAGCATAGTCGGTGACACTTTGAAGATGGGAGAAGTCCATTTGTAGCCAGACGATGGGAGAAGTCTGTTTTTAGTCATTCAACTAAAGCTGGAGTTCGATTTTGACCGTCCAACTTTAAAACCATTTATATTTGGCCATTGAACTGGTTTCAACTTTGGTTTACTGGTTTTTGCTGACAAGATAACAAGTGGCAATGAGGCCACTACTCGTCAACCACACTGCATTGGTCCTCTGCTGCCTCTGCTCCTGTCCAGGCCGATTGCCTCCTTTGCGGCAAAGCCGAACCCCGGCCGGCCCCCAAACCGCGCACCGCAGGTATCCCATCCGTGGCTTCCCACGCCGCCCTTGTTGCCCTGCACGCTGCTCGCCGCCCTGCCTATACATGCCGCACCTCTGCTGTCGCACAGCATGGCCAAGCACTGAGCCACCGGCCAGTCGCGCCCCAGCTTGTCCGAGCCTCAGTGCGGCTAGGCTGCCGGCAGGCCGCAGTGCCTATTGCCGGCCAGGAGACCGAGTCGGCCACGACCTCCTCGTCATCTCCATTATCGCACTCGCCTCTACTTCTGCACCCACACCCGATGCATGTGACCACCACCGACATCAGGGAGCTCTGTGTAGAAGCGGTAGGCCTGCACGATGAGCCCCGCGTCGACATAGAGACACGACCCCCGAGTACAGTTCAAAGCCGAGGATGCAAGGAGCCATCCATTCACAAAGATGGTGCGTCCATATTCCTGAACCACTGCGAGTTGTTATGGTGCTGACGAGTTCATGTAGCATGACATAAGCAGCAGATGATAGAACTGGATAACACAATAATCCCGTAGATGATAACACCAGAAAAAACAGTTTCCTATGCGATGAAAAACAGGAACACCAGGCGATTCAATGCCCCGGATGCTTTTAGAGCAACAAACCATTAAGTAAAGAATGGTGATGTCAAACATTCACAAACATCAGCTAACCCGGCCTACACCAGAGGCAATTGCAACCCTTTTACCTACAAGTGTACACAAATCTACGTAAATAACCAGGAAGAAAACCCTTTGCCTAATGAACACCCAAAGAATACAAAAACACACAGCCAATGCTGCCCATCAACCCTACGGACTACCGACTACAGATGCTAAACTATACCCTAAACAAGCCCACATAATTCCATTCTGGAACCAGTAGTGTAAATCATAAAGATCTGCAAAGCATAGATGCCCATCAGTGTCAGCCTTAAAAGCTGAGTGTTTGGAAGCTTGATCATTCCCCTTGTACAAGGGAGAAACTTACCAACACGTGACCTGAGCGTTGGCCTCACAACGAGAAACACCCCACTATATCAATACTATAGTCTGATGGCCGGGGGAGATGAAGATTCAAATGAAGCTCGCAGTGGTCTGTTAACAAATGGGTGCTCTAAAAGTTGTGATGAAGAAGGTCGGCTCTCAGGATCAACTCTTACACACTGGCCAATGAAATCTTGTGCCTCCTTCGACAGATAGTTGGGAATAGTAGGCTGTTCCCCTCTTCCAATCATGAAGAAAGCATTTGTCTACAAGTAACAAAGCATATTATAGAGGCATGGTGACCAACACTGGGCAAACTAGGTTACAGCCTCAGGGGAGAAGCATATTATATATATAATGATCTCATGCACTAGTAAAGGCGCTATATTCTCGCACAAAGCGATCAAATCAAGGAAAAGACTTGACAGAAGCAAGTCCATCTTCGTAGGATTACAAGATATACGAGCTTGCAAGGAAAACAAACAATGACTTTCCCAATAGACTTGACAAAAAAAAAAAGGACCTTAAAAGACAGAAAAGAGAGGAAACTTTTGACATTCTAGTGTTAATTTATTGCACAGTCTAATAGAGGATTTTTTTTTTCTCTTCACCATAACTTCTAGACTCTTCTCAACCAAATGTTCAACATTCTAGACATTAGATAAGGCCAGTACAGTAAACAACATCTTAACATGGTGATATTTGAAAGGTATGAGTAAATTAACGTTACTTGATTGTAATATGGAAAATCAAAACATGACATACCCACTCGACATTAGGAAATGGTATTTGCCGGGTTAGCATTTCCAACACGGTGCAGCCAAGGCTCCATATATCAGCTGAAGGCCCATACATCTTTTTAGGATTAATAACCTGAAAATGAGAAGGTAAGAATGTTCCAGACAAGAGATGCACAAGTATTATCTTGTGAAAAATAACATAAAAATAGATAGTTTTCAATACAAAGAATGGTAGTCACACAAAAGTAATAAGAATGTTAAGGGGCTATTGCAGATTTTTCCATTGGTTTCTTGTCTTTTTCAAGAATGCCACTCAGAATGTTAAATTGTAACTTTTACCTCAGGTGCCATCCAGTAAACACTTCCTTTGCATGACCTTAGCATATTAATTTTTGACATCTGAAAATTGAACAAGAAAACTACAACCATAAGACAATTTGACACTGAGAACATGGAAATAATGAGCAGAAAGACGAAGGCTAACCTCCTTTGCCAATCCAAAATCTGCAAGCTTTACAGATCCATTTGCATGCACCAATATATTGGCGCATTTGATATCTCTGCATATGAAGCAATTGTTTCAGCTAAAGAAATTACTGAGTCGAATGGAAGGATCATGCAGACATATCCATGCCCCACAAAAGTAATGGACACCATTAAGATAATGCACTACCTTTACTATTTCACAATTATCAGTATAAAGTTTTAGAATCATCCAGGATGAACAGCTTTATTTATTTATGTAACCTCCATGACTCTACGGTGTATGACTGCATGGCACACTCATAAAAAGGTGGACCAGGGCAATCGGTAGTTCTTGAAGTAGAGATGGGAAAATAGATTTGTTTCCCTGAATATGCAATTAACAGCAGAATAACACATGGGCTAAAAAAAACCATCTTTTCCTCCCTCACGTTACTCTTTGTTGGACATAAATTTAGAAAACAAGCTGTTACCACTACAGCATTGAAAACATTAAATTATCCCCATAAAATACTAGATGATGGGCAGCTTTGTACCTGTGGACCACATTTCTCTCATGGAGGTAAACCAATCCATTAAGAATCTGCCTTGTGTATGCAGAGACTTGCGATTCTCGTAGTTTATACTTTTGATAGAGGGATGAAAGAGATCCTTGTGTGACAAGCTCAATAAAGATATAGAGTTTGGATTCTTCCTGCATTGAAACATAAACAGATCACATGAGTTCATCAATATCACTAAGACATGCATATAAAAGAGGGTGCAAATGGAATAATAATCAGTTAAATTCAATCATCTCTTAACTAAATGAATAAACAGGGAGTATTAAAAGAAGAGCACAGTACCTTGTCAGTTCCATAATACTGGACTATATTTTCATGTTCAAACTGACTGAGGAGTGCAATTTCCTGAAAAATACAAAACACAAAATTAGAGCTGGTAACTAGTAACAAATGTAGCCTAACCAACAACTGATGATATTATGATTAATCAGCAGCTATAACCTGCTCAAGTGCAACAATTGATTGTTGTGCGTTGCTTCCTTGGTCAAGCAAAGATACTTCCTTCACAGCAAAAAACGCACCCTCACTGCAGATTCATTGGCATAAGTTCAAGATATTTTCTAATGGAGCAACAAAATGAAGAACACACTTTACACTATTCCAAGTGGTGTTTGACTTAAATTCTATAATCAGGTATTCAGGTGAAAGACATTCTCAATGTCACTCCTAAGAATCTTTTTGAGCTCAATCAAGCATTCAATTTGTACAACAACAACAACAACAAAGCCTTTAAGTACCAAACAAGTCGGGGTAGGCTAGAGTTGAAACCCAGCAGAAGCAATCAAGGTCCAGGCACGTGAATAGCTGTCTTCCAAGCACTCCTATCTAAGGCTAAGTCTTTGGGTATATTCCATCATTTCAAGTCTCCTTTTATTGCCTCTATCCAAGTCAACTTCGGTCTTCCTCTGCCTCTCTTCACGTTACTATCCTGGCTTAATCATCCATTTATCGATAATTTTTTTCTCGAACATGCAGGAGAACTGCGTATCATTTCATTAAGAAGAGAGAAGAAACTATACAAGGGAGAGGGAAAGGAGTAGAAACTCTTAGCACCTACACACACACCCCTAGAGACGACTAGAGACAACCTAGAGCAAAGGATCACCTGACCCCATCAATTGCATTTATTGATAATCGGTTACTACATCTTCAAAAGGTTGAGATTTCCAACTACAAAGATCCTTTTCAGGACAAGGTACCATGAAGTTTACTGGAGCATTAGCAGGTTACTCATGGCAAAGAGTTGGAAATCGATAGATAAAGGTCTGTTATGAGAATACTTGTTACCATACAAATCCAATGGTGCCATAAGTTCACAAGTATGAAAAACCATGCAAATTATAAATAGCAATATCAGCATTTGTTCAGAAAAATAATAAACCAACATATGACAAATGTGGTAAGTATTGACTAATGAGACAGGACAGACCAAAGGGCAACACTCTGCCTATTATGATATGTTGGTCAGTGCATTCTTAGTGCTTTGCAAATAAAAGGGGTTACTAAAGAACCTTTTGTTAGTCACACCTTCATGTTTGTTCAAAAGGTGTCAGTTTGAAGTGTGCTCTCTATAAGTAAAACATATCCGTTCAACAATGTGGAAACTTTGTGACCCGAATTCCAATTTCCTTGATGAGCTATGGAACTTTAGTTTAATTCAATATATATATTAAATAAATTGCGAAAATATAACATCTTGTTCACTACCTAAATCATTACTGGAGGAAAACTCAGGCACCAAATGAAAAAGCTGTTCAAGCTTATTACAAGGGGCTGTTTGACTAAGTCTAAATAACAGGACAACTTATAAAATATGCCTATATTAGACCAAAGGCTGCCGTATATTTTGCAGTGACTGATGAGTAACAAAGTAAATACGCAAACAAAATGAGCTCACAGTAATATTATTCAAAAGCACTGGCACTTACTCACTGATCCCCTCGTACACCATCCCAAATGAGCCGCTTCCCAGAAGAGCACCACGCATCCATGACTTGATCTTCCGCTTGAACTTGCCATTCGGTGATATGATGAACATGGCCTCCGTGGTTGTACTGGACGCGTCATCATCATTCGTCGTCGACAATGAAGAAGTTCCAGTGAACCCCTCGAAGGTCTCCCCTATCCTCAACTCTTTCAGCTCGCCCTCCACTGCTGCCACCCCATCCTCAACCTCATTCTCTTCCTCTGTGTCCGAATTGCAACGAGTGTCCACACGTTCTCCCAGTTCATTTCCCTGTTCCCTGGGAGCAAACGACTGCACAATGTCCCAAGCGGACCCAGTCATGTAATCGTCAACGAAGGACCTCCTCACCGGCGGAGGAGCGAGTGCACCAATTGGCGGAGGCGGGGAGAGTAAAGGCGGCCGTGCACCCCGTATCCCTACCTCCCCGCCTCCCCTCCTTGGCGAAGGCAGGGGCAAATCCCCGGCGGGAGCCACAATAGCAACGGCAGGGGCAGCCTTAGGTGACTCCTCGGGCGCCGCAGCGGAAGGCTCCTCCGCCGAGTCGGTGGCGGTGGAAGCGGACGAAGAGTGGAGTGACTCCTCAGGAATGGGGGCAGGGACGGAGCGAGTCGGCGGAACATCGGGCGCCGAGACCGCGCGCGCAATTGGCGAGGGTTCATCGGCGGGTGTGGACGGGTCGAGGCGGGAGCGCGGGAGGAGGTCGGAGTTAGACCGCGACTTGCGCGCCTCCCAGGCGGCGACGGGGACGGCGAAATCCTCGGGCCCCGAGAGCCCCAGGCTGCGGCAGAGCTCGTCGACCTCCCCCTCCACGCTCCCGCTGATGCGGAGGTCCGCGCCGGGGGGAAGGTCTAGGGAGTGCGAGGGCCGGAGCCCCGGCGAACGCTGCTGCTGCTCCGCGGAGGACGAGGACGACCACGACGCGCCCACCGACGCGGACGCCCCCGCGCCCGCCTCGTACTCGATGCGCTTCACCGCGTTGCGGCGATCCAACCGCGGGCTCCGTCCGCGGCTCCCGCTCCCGCTCCCGCTCCCGCCGCCGCCGCGGCTGCTGGAGTCCATGGAGGCGTCCGCCCCGCCGCGGCGGCGGCTGGAGGAGGAGGAGGACGACGAGGGCGAGCCGGAGGAGGAGGACTGCTTACGGCCCCACGAGAACATCTGGATCCATACGAGGAGCGCAGCTCACACCTAAAACCTGAGCTCCATGGGAGCGCGTCGGAATTCGGACTGGATTCCGCACCCGCTGTTGCGCCGCAGCATCGGGGAAGGATTGGGGGAGGAGCTCGGCTGCTTGCGGGAAGGGTGCCGTGGCGTCGTGGTGGGAAGTGAAATTTCCCTTTACAATACACAAGAGGCTGAAACTGCTTTTGGGTCTATGCCAGGTTGGCCTACAGTTACGCAGGGCCCAGTGTAAGAGACGTGGAAGCTAGGGGATGGCAGTTCCGTGGGTGGGTTTAAGGAAGTGGCGGAGGACTGGCCGGACGCGGGTTGACTGCGACGACGAAGGAGTGGTGCGGTAAAGAAGGGGTCGGGTCGGACCCGTGCGGGGCCCGGGCGTCAGTGGAAGAACACAGAGTAAATGGCTGCCGTTGGCGTGGATGTGAGGTCAGTGTGGGCGGGAGCGTGTGAACGGGGCTGCTGCCCGAATCCTGATCCTCCGCGCTGTCAACGGCTGTGGCGCGCAGCCGCGCACGGCGCACGGCGGCGGTTGCCGGTGAGGCAGGCAAGAAAATTTGGAAGGAGCTGGCTCCGGCCTCCGGGATTGCGAGTCTGCGATAGCACAGCAGCCGCTACTCCTAGTCCTAGCCTTTGGGTCGGAAAACAGCACGTGAGGATTGTGCTAAGTACCCTGTCAGTGTTTCGTTTACTGGTTATTAGTTGATCAGGTGGACTTAGCGCCTGCAGGCTGCTAAATTGTTACTGGTTGCTATTAAGGAGGAAGTCAGCTAATATCAATTTATTAGCGGTGCTATTATTAGTTGAGACACATTTGGATCCTCTCGCTAATTTGTAGTACTTGCTCGGTTCAAAAATGTTAGTCACATTTGACCAAAGAATAAATCATACAAATTAGATTTTGGCCCTCGATTTCTCTAAGATAATAAATAGTCAATCGCTAAAAAACGAATGTCATCTTAGAGTACTTTGAATGTAAATCTATTGATGCAAGTTTTATGCTCTAAACATGCATAGTTTTGACTAATTATTGATCAAAATTTATAACTTTTGACTTTTTCTTTGGTCAAATACGACTACTATTTTTGAACAAAGGGAGTATTTAGCTTGGAAACCAACTGATAGGTATTTATTAGCGTTGTAGTTCATTTTGAGCTATTAGATGGTGTGTTCTGTATCATTAAGTGCTAATATTAACTACTAACAACTAGCAATTAGGATCCAAGGCACCCCACTAATTATTGATTTATATACTCTCTGTATCCTAAAATATAAAAGGATACATGTTTATTTTAATTAAGTCAAACTATGCTTGACCAAGTATATAGTAAAAATATAATATTTGCGATATCAAATTAGTTTCAATAGATAAATTATAAATAGCATAGTTTAACTTATGACAAACTTAAATATCTCATGATAAAAAAAACTTAGATATCTCAGATGTAGAGAGTACATGTCTCGAACTTGGAGGTTCACATAATCGTGTGAAAAAGATTTTAATTAGGGAGAAAGGCTTAATTCTGGTAGGAAATGGAAAAGATCGCAATTTTCCAAACAAGTTATCAGCTATTGGTAATACTACTTTATATAAGTCCAGCAACTTACTAACATGCATCACCAAAGTCCGAGATGTGTTCTCGACGCTCGTTCGAAACACAGAAATTAACATAGCCAAATGAACTATCGCAATAATCTGGAAACTTCACTCATTTTAATCGCTGGGCCTGGGCGCGGGCGCTGGCTGTGTTTTGTGCGAGAGAGACCGCCTGATGAACCGAATTGAACGTTCTCCCTTCTCCGGCGTGGCCCCTACCGATTCGTTGGTTTACGTGCTAGTCGACGGCGACGCGCATGTGTTCCCACCTGCGGAGGCGCCCCGTCGGAACGGCGATGCTGGCGCGATGCGCGAGTGTCACGTTCGCGCCAACGCACGCCTCCCTCCAACCCGGGCTCACCGTCTGTTGTGAGTTCTGATGATGCGGGTGGCGGCTAGCACCGAGGTGGCCCCACGTGGCGAGTCGATCGGCTCCCGGGAGTTGTTTATTCCTGTGACGTTCCTGTCAGAGCCAGCTCTTTCCGCTCCTGTGAATGATGGTCCGTACGTCGTTTACCTCAATTAGCATATGTTTATTTTCGATCTTCGCTGGCCTTTGTATGTTTGCGAGGAGAGATTACATATTGTTGTTCACAGCAGTGACTCCGGTGATGGTCAAGCTCCAGACCCACTCGAGACACCTCCTCACTGTCAGATATTTGGGTTGCAATGGCACGTTCTCGAAAGAAATTCATGTTACAAATTCTGTGCAATTGTGCATTGTGCATTGTGCTGCAATACTACTAGCTGAACGTTTCCTAGTGCACGACCTCTGCAATCTTCATTACTTTTGCTAACGGCAATGCAACGTGTCTGTCCGGACGGACGGCTTCTCCATAAAAAAAATGGACGCTGGTTCGCCCGTAGTAGCCTTATCCACCGCGTCCGACTCCACTGCGCTCGTCTTCCTCGCCTCCGCTCGTGGTTCCTAGCCATCGTCCTCCATCCTCGGCACCTCCGGTGCCAGGCCGGCGCGGGTGACCCTCCTCCGCCCCGGCCGATGCGACCTCCCATCTCCCCAACAGCCGCCGTCGACCTCCTGCCCGCGCGCTCGTCTTTCCTTGCCTCCGCCCACACTTCATGGCCGTCGTCCTCCATCCTCTATAGCTCCGGCGCCCAGTCCGCCACCAGCTTGGCCGACACGACCTCCCATCAGCTGTCGTCCACCATCCTCAGGTGTCGGCCGGCCGAAACCAGCCGTTCCCCCGCTTTGCGCTGCATCATACGGAAGAAGGGTTATAAATGCACGTTGCAAGCCTATGTTTCAAGTGTTTTAGATGTTTCATAAGTATGTTGCAAGTGTTTCATATGGATGTTGCAAAAGTAGATCGGGATGTGTTGCATATGTTGCAATGGTGGTACACGTACATTGCAAGCTTGCTTTCCCAATGTTTCATCTGTTTTCAAAACGTACGTTGCAAGTGTGCTAATTTGAATATTGCATATGTTTCACACATATGTTGCAAAGTGTTTTATCTGGATGTTGTGTATGTTTTTGCAACGGTTTCAAGTGTTTTCCAGGTGTTTTTGCAAGTATTTTAGATGCATGTTTCAAATGTTGCATATGAATGTTTCAAAAATAGATCGGGTGTTGCATCGTCCTCCTCGTCTTCTGCTGCATCGCTCCGGTGTCTCCTCCTCCTCCCGAAGCCGACTAGGCATCCTCTCCCCCTCTTCTCGATGCCGGTGGCGTTCGTGGCAACGCAGAGCCCGCGTGGGCACGCGAAACGCGTACAGAAAAAGGACTACGGGCGCGGACGTCCGGACATCCTATCCGTCTGAACGTTCCTGCGCTAGCCTGTTTCGGTAACGTGACAAACTGACGAGGCACTAAATAAATACCGAGTCCAGCTGATGGTAGTGATGTCAACCAATAGCCTCCTTTCCGACACCACTAAACTATGGGTAAAGCTGTGGTGGGTCTGACCCGGTGATTTCAGTACGACTGTCCTTGAATGACCATTCAAGAGATCCTATGTTTTCATCCACGCTACAAAAAGCATCCCATAACACTATGATCATCTCTGCCGTCCGGATTGGAGCCCTCCGTTACTCCTTGACTTGCACGTCCCTTTCGTATTAACTTGCATGCGGCGGCTTCCTTTGCGAGCAGAGATTGAGCAAGTTTAACAGCTCGGACCTCTTCCGGCCGATCCGGTGTCTCTGGTACGGTGACACCGTGACAGGGACCGAGGTGAACTGTGCTCTCGCAAGTCGCAAGCGTACGCTGTTGCATGGCCGACACGGCAGCCAAATAATCGATCCCATGCATGCACCACAGCACCAGGAACCGGCCGGCCCGCGCCCGCGGCCCCGAGTCCCCGACTTCGTAGCGCCTGGCCATTTCCGGCCACAAGCCCACAAATGCGCGTAGACCCAACGCGCGCGGTCGTTAAACGATTTCCCCTATATTTGCAACCTCGCGCATCCGCATCAAAACGATCAGAAAAAGACGACGTCGATGGCATCAGTGGCAGCGCCGTTCATGGATGACGCGAAGGTGATCGTGTCCACCTACGAGGAGCTGCCGCGCCGGCGGCGCCGTCCCATCAGCCGTGTCGCGTCGTCGTCCACGGCGGCCACGCGCGCCAAGGCGTCGGCGCCGAGGCAGGCCAGCAGCTACAGCCGCCGGGAGCTGCTGCTCGCGTACGCACAGCAGCTGCGACGGCGTCGACGCGGGGGGCAACAGAGCAGCGCGCCGTTGTTGCTGGAGTGGGGCAAATGGAAGGCGGGTCATCCCGTCGCCGGCGGCGGTGACGGCGTCGCTGTAAGATGGGCGAATTTGATATAACTGTTTGGTTTCCACGTACGTACGCGTACGCATGCCGGTGCAGGGATTGATGATTCACTTGTGTGTTGTTGGTGGGCAGATGAGGCGGATCGGGAGAAATTGGTGGTCCAGGTTGCGGTGCTGCGTCCGGCTTTGCGTAAGGACGTTTCTTCGGCGAGTCAAGCGGATTAAAGAGAATGCCTCGTGCAAGAAAGGCGATACTAGCAGTATGTTAGATTAGATGCGGTCAGCGTTGGTTGCTGATTGATATTCTTCAGCGTAATCCAAATGTCACTTAATCCATGTGAGTTTTGACTGATCCTCTTCAGACAAGCAAATTTATCTAGGGGTAAAAAGACTCTCTTAAGTTGTCTTAAAAATTTTAGAACGCTTACAGGACGGAGTATATATGACCTATCCTTTCCCTTGAATGTTTATAAAAAAATAAATCTAACGTCTGCCTAACCATACATGATGATGGCAGGTCTAGTTTGATGCGTAAGGTCGATACAGCCATTTACACGTAATTCTATTGAAATCATGCCATCTATTTTTTTTTTAAAAAAAAGATTCATACCTACTCCTCATACACGGTTGAGCATTTTTTTTAGAAAGACACTAAAAAAAAGTGTCTTGTATCTTTTATATATACACACGACGATAACAGTAGCTCGTACAAAAAAATAACTTGATGTAAAATGACCTCTAAAAATAAGAGTATATTGAGATCAAACAAGACATCTTTCTTTGATCTTTTTTATTACTACGTGTTACTATAATCGGCTGATGTAGGCTACTCCCTCAGTTCCAAATTATAAGTCGCTTTGACTTTTTTTTGGAACATCTATTTTGCTATGTATCTAAATATAATATATGTCTAAATGCATAGGAAAATTGATGTAGCAAAAAAGTAATAGCAACTTATAATTTTGAAAACCGAGGGAGTACTATTTTTCTTCGACAATAAACCTCATATGTACCTGCCTCTACCTGAACAACCCATGGCCGTGATTTTCTTGTAGCAAATCCGCGACACTTGTTATTTTTTTTGTGTCTTTCCTTGCCTACGTCTCCACGTGGACGGTGAAGCCGGCATACCATAAGGTCTCAACACGGACGTGGAAGCCGCAGCGTTGAAAGGTCATAAATGGTTAGAGGAGGATGAATAGCCTATAAAAATCTCTATAAAAATACTAGAACAATTGATTAGTACACTAAATAGCGTAAGCAATTTTGCTCTAGCTCTACAAGAGTTGTAACCCACCTATCTCAATAATTCTAGTTTCTATGATCACTAAGCATACAAAAGCTAAGTCATTACTCATTAAGAGCTCTCAACAAAGCTACACTAAAGAGCTCTACTAGGTGAAATTAAACGAGCAAGTAAGCTCTCAAAACTAGCTACGCTAAAGAGCTTGCTACACAACTAGTTTGCAAAGAAAGTAAGAAAGTGAGTAGGACGATTATACCGCCGTGTCGAGGAATGAACAAATCACAATATGTATGCCAATCAATCACCAAGAGAATTTCAATCACAATGGACACCAAAATTTTTCTCCCGAGGTTCACGTGCTTGCCGGCACGCTAGTCCCCGTTGCGTCAACCAACGCTTAGTGGTTTCGACGGCTAATAGGTATCACACACCTAGCCCACCACAAGGACGCCGCAAGAACCTACCACAAGTGAGGCAACTCAATGACACGAGCAATTTACTAGAGTTACCTTTTGACTCTCCGTCGCGGAAGATACAAGACCCCTCACAATCACCGGGAGATGGCCACGAACAATCACCAACTCGTGCCGATGCTCCTCCGCTGCTCCAAGCCATCTAGGTGGCGGCAACCATCAAGAGTAACAAGAAATCCGCAGCCACAACGATTCCCAAGTGCCACTAGATGCAATCACTCAAGGAAATGCACTAGGAATCACTATCAATCTCACAAAGATGATGAATCAATAATGATGATGAGTGGGAGGTGTTTGCTTAGGCTCACAAGGATGTATCATAGGTGAAAATGTCTAAGAGAGTGAGCCTAAAGCGAAGCACTTCTATTTATAGAGGCCCCATGACTCAGAGAGCTGTTGGAGCCTCGGGGCTTGACGGGACACACTGACCGAACACACCACAGCGTTCGGTCGGCCAGAGTCCAGTCGCCCACGATCGTCCACGTGTCGCTCTTTGAAACTCACGCGTCGATCTCCAACGACCACTAGCCAATCACTCACGTTGTTAAAGTGTGACCGGACTCGACGAAGAAGTGACCGGACTTGACGAAGAAGTGACCGGACTCACCAACGAGGCGCGTCCGGTCGAGTCCAGTAAGCACTACTAGGGATGTGTACATCAATGATGCTCTTCTTTCGTCACTGAAGACTCCAAAATCGTCACATATATTATTTTATGACGATTTGTGACGATACGGTATTCGTCATTGAATGCGCGTCATATTTTACCTACCGTGACGAAACGTCTATTTTCGTCATAGATGTGCATTTGTTCTATGACAAAATGGCCGTCGTCATAGAAGTGTATTCTTTCTATGACGATCTATTTTCGTCATTGATATAGCCCTTTTTCGTCATGACTTGCCGTCTGTTAGGCGGCCAGACGACGTCTGCCACGCTGGCAGCTGACGTGTCTTGTCCACGTGGCGCGTCCACATTGCAGGTGACGTGTCCGACCACGTGGCAGCTGACGTGGCCAGTGATGTTGATGGTCCACGTGTCCACTTTTTATTGGGCCACAAGGCTTGCTGTGATAGGTTCTTATTTTTGTCACTGAAGTAAATAGAAATTCGTCACAGAATCAATTACCAAATCGTCACAGAAAGGTCAGATAATTCATCACAAGTGCACATGCTGATTTCATTACAGAATGCAAATAATACTAGAATGACCAAAAGGTTCCATAAATTAACAGATCCAGTATTCCAATGACCAACAACTTAATCAACAATTCTAAACTCGGTTCACATAACTCACTAGACATCACATTTGAACTACTAGTTTCATCTCAGTTCACATTAACATCACAGGAAATAATAAAAAGTTGCCAACCACCAGCAACATAAGTTACTACATAAACAAAATCACCAGCAGACCCCTTGCTTAATGAACCAGCAACTACGAGCAGCGCTCATGTCGAAGAAGCATTGTTGATGGCCAAGATACGCTTGAGCAGCGTATTGTTCTCCTCCATTGCCTTGTTGTTTATCTCTGTCAGCTTCCAAGTCCACAGAGGGTCTTAAACAATGGAGAGATAGCAATGTATTGAGCAATTCAAATTCATCAGGTTCCAAGTCCACAGGGTTTTGCAAGTTGTAACTCATCCTTATGAGGTTTGCTGCTTCACTAGTCATCAAACGGGACCACTACTGGCACAGCATGGCTTATTGGACTCAAGGTTCAGGGTGCACAGAGCATGGCATTGCCGAAAAAATCACAATGACTTACCTGTGACAAACAATACGTGTTAGACAAAGCTGAAACTGTAAAACAAGTACAGTAGTAGGAAAGGAAATCTCAAATACGTGTTAGACAAAGCTGAAACAGACGAATTCAACACTGCACTGAATCAGCAACAAAATGCGCATCACTTTGATTAATTTGAAATTCTGGACTCAGACAATGATTAGACATTGCAAAACTTAGAGACAACTTATTACAATTCACATATCAAAGTTTGAAGAACCTAATCAGTTATCACTATAATGGGACTTGAACACTCATTTGGTATTTCAGACCTCTACTAGGGGCTACCATTTCCTGTGTTCTGCGGCGTTCAGACAACTTGCAGTTCAGAATGATGAATACAGTAAACAACGCTACTTTTTGTCTAAAGATGTTATCATAGAATGATCATATTGTGAGAAGTTGTGGTGGGCATCGAAGCGTGGCACATAAATAAGGTCAAGAAAAAGAATATGTTCTAGTTGCAGGTAGATCAAATCATATCAAGTGCACCAGGAAACTTCAAATTCAGCTATTACCAGAGCACCAAACAGAGTTAACCTCACTTAACCACTTCAGTGTCAATGCATTCTCCTAGCCCCTACATGCTAGCAAGATAAATCTAAATAAAGCAGGTTAATGAACCCTCCCTCTTTTAGTCCCAGCAGAGTTTCCATGTTTAGCCAGGAGAAAATAAACTGCATTTTCAAAGAATGCTAAACCAGGTTTGTACTCACTTTATCTTGGATGAATGGATTTGCTGAGTTCCTTAAGAGATAGTTGATAATAGCAGCCTTCTTTGAAAGAATTGCTTTGTGAATCGCTGGCAAGCCTTCTTGTAGCATCTGGACGTGGCCTAAGGCCAAGAAAAGGTGTCAATGCAGTGTAGTATACAAAGGTTCCTGCACAGGCATAAACAATCAATATATGATAACCATAAGCTCAAGGCTGGAACACAAATAAGTACTGGTGCCATCCCGCCAAATTCACAGGATTATAAGATGGATAGGATGCAAACCAAATACCGAAATAATTCATATTAAATGATTACTCCACAATAGCCTAGAGGTACCTTCCATGAGTAACTTTGGTTCTCACCTGCACCAAGACGCAAATTTGAGTGATGCTAAACTCATCAGCTCTGAAGTTACTGAAATAATTCAATTTTAATGAAGAGACAGATCTCCTCTTTGACATACTAATACAAAACAAAACTGAAAAAAATGAGTTTATAACTTGATCAGACTACATCAAACTCATTACTTTGAATCTTACAGGGAAATATTTTATATGCTGCACAAAGCAAATCATTTGTAAATGTCATCAGCTTACAAGTTACAGAAGCACACAACAATTCAATGTGATACAGTTTGCAAAAGGTAGTCCAGAAGAAACAGCAACTTTAAAGGATCTATGCAACATGTAGTAGAAGCCTTGGAAAACTATACTAGAGATACTACACATATTTAATATCAGTAGTATTATTAGCAAAGTTGAAGCATGTAAAGGATGATACACATAATGAAACATATAATTCTAAAGGGTGGTCCTAGTTACATGGACTGTGATTAAACAAACTTGTAGCAAGGTCTATAACATTCGCTTGGGCAGATGCCTCCTAGCCCTTTTTGTGCTTGTCGGAATTAAAATAACATTGGTTTGTAAATTACATATGTCCAAGGCAAAAAGAAAAAAGTGAACAAACATATTTTTAAATAGCAATGAAGCCAAATGTACTGAATCTATGTTAGTGAATGTTTATAGATGAGGTTTCAACAAAGTTAGGGACAA